GGTAATTCACGCTCTGAGACGAGGACGTCGGGGGCCAGGACGAGGGCTAGGAGGATGGCGAAGGCGAGGGCAAGGCCGACGAGGACGACACCAGAGGTGGACGCGCAGGAGGACGACGGGGGAGAAGGAGGAGAAGGGTGCAGATCCTGTTGGTTTCCAGAGGCCCCTGGACGAGGCGGAGGTGCAGGAGCAGGAAGGGGAGATTATGCCCCTCCATCTGGCGTTGGCCAGGCGTGGGGGAGAGAGCATCGATCTTGAGGCGAACCTGCCCCCCCCACCCGCGAAGCCGTGCGAGGGTCGGCGAGGAGCTGTTTCATGGAGATGCGTCGGCTCTGCCTGTACAGCCCCGAGCTCGACGAGCTTCTTGTTCGACCGCCCGGCGCCGGAGGCTCTGCAGAGAGCCGACGGAATGGCCCCCAACCTGGCGCTTTTGCAGGCGCTCCTGAGTCCGCTTCACGGACTTCGGACTCGAGCGAGGCGAGGTCGGAGCCTGGCGGAGCGAGTCCTCTGCACCCCTCGCAGCCCCCCCGAAGCCCTGGCCGGGAGGAGGCGGTGGTAAAACGACGCGAGGATCGGGACAACATCGGATCGGGATGACTCGAAGTCTCTGAGAGAATCGGCGGGTTTGGAGGATGTATTGGGCGCCGCGGCCGCTCCAGAGCGTTCCGGAACGCTCTGAGAGCGCTCCGGAACGCTCTGGAGCGACTTATCCCGATCCTAGCCCTGTTTTAGGTGGCGGGATGAGCAGGCGGCCTGAAGCCAGGTGCGGTCGGGCTGCGCTGGCCCGCCGTCGGAGAGGACCTCCCGCGAGGCCTCCCCGGCGTCGTCGAGGGGCTCGTTGGGCCCCTCCTCGGCCGCCTTCTCGAGGAGTCTCGCCCCCTCCGCTCGTGCGGGCAATGTCTTTATCCACATCCAGTGCGTCTTGGAGTTTCGGACTCTCTTCCCGAGAAACACGAGGCGCACTGGATATGGATTCTCATCTGCCTCCAAAAGGCTCCTTTTTTATCCATATCCAGTGCGCCTCGGCCTTGCGGCGCCCCTTCCAAGAAAGTCCACGACGCACTGGAGATGTATATAAATATTGCCCGCACGCTGGGGTGGCGGGGAGCTTCTCCTCCTCGAGGCCGAAGGGCCAGGACGAGGAGGACGAACGGCCAGTCCACCCGCACAGGTCTCAGTTCGGTAACTCCGACGCGAGTCGATTCGAGTCCGATCGATTCCGACTCCGATTCGATTTGATGTCAGATTCCGATCTGGATGTCGGCCTCTTCTCAAGAGGAGGCCTCGCTAGCCTGCCGATTTGCGCCGACTCGACTTTTCCCGACTTTGGCTGCCGATTTCCGCCGATCCGATTCATTTCGACCCTCGATTCGACTTGCAGGCGGCCCGGATTACGAGGTCGACCCTGCCAGCTCAAGGGTACCTTTGTGTCCTGTGCCTCGCGACGCGTGCCTTCTTACACTCCTGAGGCGATGTGGCCTTCGGAAGGGTCTTGTGTCCTCTCGCGCGTCTTCTCCAATCAAGTCCGATGGTTAACGGTTCGATCATGGGCTCTCCTGCCCGCAGGGGCGCGGAGACGAGACGCGCCTCGCGCGTCGCGGCCCGGGCCGGGCAGCAGCCCTGCCTCGAGGTGGCGTCCGCGAGGGCGCGAATGCAGCCGCACATCGCCGCGCGCGAGGATAAACGACCCTGGGCGAGGAGGGGGGCGAGAACGGGGGCGGGGCGGAGGAGGGCGGGGCGGATGAGGAGGAGGAGGAGGAGGTGGAGGAGGAGAAGGAGGAGGAGGACCAGTGGAAACCCAAGAGTCATCAGCGATGCTTGAAGGCACCCTCCCTCCAGGCTCCCCCTTCATAGGCCCCTACAGCGGCTCTTTCCCACTGAGGGAACTGCCTCGTTGGATGACACCCGTGTGCAGACCCTGAAGCATGGCAACACATTGTTCTCGGGAAGCTAACGCCAGGGATCAGCTGGAGTGCTGCGTCTTGGCGATATGGAATCGTTCCGGAACGCCCTTCCTGCGACGTCAGCACCCCTAGTGAATGCAACTGCTGCGCTCTCATAATCCAGAATCCTTCCAACACGCCGTTTCTGGTGCGCTGGCCATGGGAATCCGTGAAACTATTGCAACTTAAAAGTGCGTGGCGCTAATGCGAGAGCACCATTTTGACAAGGAACCGCCCTCAATCCGTGAATTGATTGCAAATTGTTGAAACACATGTGCGCGGCGCTAATGCGGAAGCTACATTTAAAACCAGTCGCCCTCAATCAGTGACACTCTTGCAACTTAGAGACACGAATGTGTGCGGCGATATGGGGAGAGCCACGTTTTGAAAACGGCCCGCCCTCCATCTATGAAACTGTTGTCATGTTTGAAGTTTCAGCGTCATACATGGTGAGGAATTCCCAGGCGAAACGCCCTGCCCGCCGTAAAAACTGGCCTCGGTGTGCGACAGGGAAAAGTTAAAGCATGAGGAAAAGGAGTGGAGGAGGAGGAGGAGGAGGAGGTGGAGGTGGAGGAGGAGGAGGACGACGACGACGAGCAGGAGGAGGAGGAGGAGGAGAGGAGGAGGAGGAGGAGGAGGAGGAGGAGGAGAAGGAGCAGGAGGAGCAGGTGGAGGAGGGGGGTGGAGGAGTTCCCCCCCCCCTGGCGTGTTGGGGCCTGCGGCCCGGCAGCTCCCGCAGCGGCGCCCCTTGCAAGCGCCGAGCACGGCCGCGCCCCCCAAGAGCGGGGCACCCGACGGGCGCGAGGGCCACGCGCGACCCCCGGGGGGGATCCCGGAGGGCACGCGCCCCGCCCCCGCGGGGACGGCCCGGCCCAGGAGGAGGAGGAGGAGGAGGAGGAGGAGGAGGAGGAGGAGGAGGAGGAGGAGGAGGTGGAGGAGGAGGAGGAGGAGGAGGAGGAGGAGGAGGAGGAGGAGGAGGGGAGGAGGAGGAGGAGGAGGAGCCCCGAGGCGGGACCCCCCGGAGCGCCGGGCCCGGGCGCCCTAGGGCAGCGGACGCCCCCGCAGACTGCAGGAGGCCCGGGAGCCCCATGGCCTCAAGTTTCAAGCGGTGGCGAAGCGTCCTGGCTCGCCTACATCGGGGGAAAACAAGCCTACCTCGCTTTTGACCACCCTCGCTTCCAAGAGATACCAAGCGTTGCCAAACTACGGCCTGTACTGGTCAGGTCGCTTGACGAGGAGGCGCGTGGTATGACTTGGTTTTGCCTGGAAGTGAAAGCGGGGTAGGTAATTCACGCTCTGACTATAGCCCGACCAAGCAGTGTTCTAAGAGCCTTTTCTGTGGTTTCCACGAGATGCTCTTAGAACACTTCTGGCTGGGGCTGTCTTGTTTCAACACACGAGGCTGAAGTTCTAAGAACATTGTTTTTGTTCCCAGAACATTTGGGGGCTCTAAGAACATTGTGTGGTAGGACTACAGAAATGCCGGGACGGTCGGTCCCTGCTCAACCAAGAGCCCCGGGCGGGGCGCAGGAAAGCCGACCGTGACTCCGAAGCGTGCCGAGCCAGCTGCGACAGGTCGCGAACTTGCGGGAACCTCACAGGGCATACACACATGCGGCCATAGCAGGCGACAGCGGAGCCACGAAGGGCAGCGATGGGGCCACGGCGGACAACTTGGCCAGGCGGCTCCGAGCGCCAGCACACGCTGGGACACTGCGTGCGCGCTGCCGCCTCGAGGAGAGGCATCCGCTCCTCGAGGTTAGCGTCGACTGGCGGCGAGCTGCTCACCTCGGCAGCCTGGTCGGCCACCGACTCGCCAGCGGAAGAGGCGTACAGCACCTTGCCTTGTATCTTCTCTTCCCGCAGGGTGTTGCGCTCAACTATCGCGTCGTGCAGCTGCGCCTCCGGCTGCCACATCAATACGCGCTTCATCGTGATGCGCTTGGCGATGCCTTCCAGCTTCTTCTACTTGCCCTCAGACCCGCCAGCATAGTCGGCCGCATTCGGCCGCCGAGACACCAGCGAGCGAGGCATACAGCAGTGCCTTCGGCTGCCAAGCGAAGACCTGGCCCTCGCAGAGGCCCAGGTACTTCAACCCATACTCCCGTCATCGGACATCATACCATCTGCCTGCGTCACGTCCATGCCGCGTTTGCCCCCCTGTCACTGACATATACGCGACCTTCGCATTGGCCTCGTCTTCCGCAACTTGCACCTTGACCTCAGTGTCTGGCGCGTCGGGCTCCACGATTACGTCGCAGCCCTTCCCCACCAAGCTCACGAAACGGTGAGCCCCGTCGACTGCCTTCCCAACCGCGCCGCCCAGGGACACGTCGAGGAGTTGAGGATGCCCTCCTGCACCGCCTTCTCGATCCTCTCCTTGGCGCCGTGCTCGAACATGCCTTGCGCTTCACATCCTGCAGCGTGCTGCGCAGGGTGGGGCTACCCATGCCCTCCAACGCCTGCTGCCCTCCCTCGACTTGCTTTGCGTCGCGAGGAACGGCAGGCGGAGCAGGCAGAGCTCGACGGGGCCTGGCGGCAAGCCCGGTCTCGACTTCGTCCCCGGCGAGGGCGTCGACGGAGGCGCCCGACGGCCGCCTCCACCGCCGCTGGCGGCCTCGTGGGGAGGCTTGGGGCACCCGCAGCACCACGTCCGGCGCCGGCGGCTCCTTTTCCAGGAGGAGGAGGAGGAGGAGGAGGAGGAGGAGGAGGAGGAGGAGGAGGAGGAGGAGGAAGGGGAGGAGGAGGAGGAGGAGGAGGAGGAGGAGGAGGAGGAGGAGGAGGAGGAGGAGGAGGAGGAGGAGGGGGATGAACAGGCGGAGGAGGAGAAGGGCGAGGATCATCAAGAGGAACAGAAGGAGGAGGAGGAGCAGCAGCAGGAGGAGGGGGAGAGCGACGAGGCGGTGTGGAGGTTCGGGAGGAGGAGGGGGAGGAAGAGGAGGAAGACGAAGAGGAGGACGAGGACGAGGAGGAGGAAACCGCTGGGAGGAGAAGAGGAGGAGGAGTAGGAGGTGGTGGAGGAGGAGGAGGAGAAGGACGGCTCGGGCGCCTCCCGAGGTGGGCAGTTTCCTGGCGCTGCCCGCAGCGGAGGGCGCCGGGCACCAGCTCCGCCCTGAGATGTCGTCGTCGTCGTCGTCGCAGGAGGAGGAGGTAAACCCAAGACGCATCAAATATGTTGAAATAAACTTACGTACTCTCCCTCCAAGTTCCTCTTTCACTTGGCCCTCCAACAAATCTTGTCTGGCCGCAAACATGAATTGACCCAGCTGCCTGCTGCAAACCCCGCCGCCGCGCCTGTGCAACCAGCGCAGCAGGATGGAGGCTGAGTGCAGGCACAGCGCAATTCTTGCGATTGGTCTGAATCAGGACGGATCGTGAACTCGACCCCGTCTTTGTTTTGCGCGGTAGGAGAGAAGACGAATTCAGGCCACGCGGCAGGCCAATGAGTGGTCTGAATTGACAAGGGTCGTGATCTCGATTTCGTCTTCGTCCACGCGATAGGGAGGAGGAGGAGGAGGAGGAGGAGGTGAAGGAGAAGGGAAGGAAGAGACTGAAGACAAGGAGGAACAGGCATCTCAGGGGCTCTCTTGGGGCCTTCAGGGGGCCCCCTCGAGGGCCTCCCGGGGCCTCTTGGGGCCTCTTGGGCCGTCTCAGGGAGGCTCTTGGCCCGTCTGACGCCTTCGGAGGCCGTCTTCGGGGGCTCTCTCGGCCGTGTTGGGGCCCTCCTGGGAGCCTCTTGAGCGATCCTGGGGTCGGGGGCCTCATGGACCGTTTTGGAGCTGTCTTGGAGGCCCCTTCGGCCGTCTTGGGTGGTCGGAAACCCGAACAGGCGAGAACAGAGAGGAGGGAGCAACCCGAACAGGCTGATTTTTTTTGGTTGCGGGCAGTGCCCCATCGGAAGGCGACCGCTTGAGAATTCTCAATCGTACGAAACCGCACTCCATGGGACTTCAGCGACGCGAATCAACGTGACCGCTACGTCCTCACAATCTCAAATCGCACCAGAGCACCAGTCCTGGACTTCACCACCGCCAGTCAACAGGACCGTTGCGTCCTGACAATCCTCAATCGCGCCAGAAGGCCATTCTTGGGACGTCCATCGTACGAATTCTTGAACGCGCGCTAGCTTTTAAGACACATGTGCGCGGCGCTAAAGCGAGAGGCGCAGTTCGAAAAGGAACCGTTCTCCATCCTTGAAGCCGCTTCAAGCTTTTAAAACGGATGTGCGTGAGCGGCGCTCAGGCAAGAGCCCCATTTTGAAAACAGCACGCCCTCCATCCTCCATCCTTGAATATGTTGCCCACTTTAAGATGAATGCGCGAGGGTCTACATCGAGAGCCACATTTTGAAAAGGAACCGCCTTTCATCCGTGAAACGGATACAACATTCAAGCTTGAGGATAACGCAGGTTGAGGATGTCTCAGACGAAACGCCCGGCCCGCCCTACGGACCCGTCCCGGGGCGCGACTGGGAGAAATGTTATGTTAAACCACTGTTTTAAACAAGAATGGACGGAGGAGCGAAGAGCAAGGAGCGTGGAGCGAAGAGCATGGAGCGTGGAGCGCGGAACGTGGAGGAGGAGGAGGAGAAGGAGGAGGAGGAAGAGGAGGAGGAGGAGGAGACGGAGAGGGAGCAAGGAGAGGGAGACGAAGAGGGAAGAAGGAGGCGAATGATGAGAAGGAGGAGGAGGGGGGCGGGGTGGGACGGGGGAGGTGGAGTTCTTAAGGTGGAGGAGGGGGAAGAGTGGGAGGAGGGGATCTTTCTCCGCGGACGCGTGTCACAACCGACCTGCGACCCACACAGAAAGACCATTTCATGCTATGCTCAGGAGGGAAAACACACAAACACTTTTTTTTTAACAAGCGCAAGCGGGCCCCGTGGCGAAACGCAGGGAAGAGAGGAGGAGAGGGGGGAGGGTGAAACCGCCGGCAGCCAGCCCCTGGGCTGCGCCGCAACTGCCTAGTCCGGCGGCCCCGGCCGAACCTCCAGCCGCCTGCGCAGCGCCGCGCGCCAGCCCGCCTCGCTGCCACCCGCTCGCACCGCGGGCACCAGCAGGAGCGCCGCTGCCCGAGGCGGCAGCGTGCTGGCCCACCCCGGGCAGGGCCGAGCCGCCAGTGCCCGCCAGTGCGGGGCTGCGCTGCCGCAGCAGAGGCACGCGACCCACCCGGGGCCCTGCGACGCCGCGTGCGGCGCCCACGCGCCGCCCCCGAAGAGGGCGCGGGCGGCCCCGGCGGCACCGCGCTGGGGCAAACCCTGGCCGACCGCCCACGGTCGCCGGGGGCGCCGCTGCAGCTGCGGCTGCGGGTCCCCTGCCGGCGCCGTCTGCTGCTGCTGTGCCCGCCGCCTGTTGGGCCGCGCAGCCCGCGCCAGCCGTGGGCCGCCCGTCCAGCGCCTGTGCACCCTGGGCCCAGCCGGCCCGGAGCCGTCGTGGTTGGCGCGCAGCGCGGCCAATTCCACGGCGGCCAGCAACCGCTGCAGGCAGCGTAGCGCGCGCAGCTGCACCTGCCGCCCGTCGCAGAGCGCGCGCTCGGGCAAACAGGCGCGCGCGGCGGCGCCCGCCAAGCGGTCGGCGGTCTCATTGCCAGCGTGGTCCTCGGGCGCGATCCCGCGACCCGCCGCCGCGGCTGCGTCGAGGTGCCCCTTGACCCAGCGCGCCGCGATGAAACCGCTCTCGCAGTGCGGCCTCAGCAGCTCCCACAGGTCCGCGTGCGCCCACTCGGTGGGAGAGGCGCCGGCGCGCAAGGCCGCGACTCCGTGGCACACGTAGCGCGAATCAGAGACCAGCTCCAGGGGTGCTCCGACCGCGCTGACCGCGTGCACCGCCGCGGTGAGCTCGGCCCGTTGCGCGGTCTGGGACCCGCCCACAGGCCCGTTGCGGCGCCGTAGCAGACCGTCGGACCCTCGCCAGCAGAGACCCCACCCTGCCCGAGCCAGAAGCGGGTCTGTGGGGTGCTCGCAGGCGCCGTCGCTCCAGGCCCGCAGCCGTGCTTGCCCAGGGCCAACCGCCGGTGGCGGCAGCGGAGGCGGCGGCAGCTCCTGCTTGGCCTGCGCTGCCAAAGCGGCCAGGCGCGCGTCCAGCGGCAGCACCCCGGACAGCGGAACGCCGGCTGGGAGGCGCGCGAGCAGGGCTTCCTGGCTCAGGCCTGCGGCCTGCAGCTCAGCTCAGCTCCCCAGGCCGCGCAGCTCAGCCAGCGCGGCCTGGGGAAAAAACACAGACACAATTACTCGTCGATTCCCCAGAACATATGGGACAATATGGGAATTGGGGGGGAAGAGAAAAACCCAGAAGATATGGGAGAATATGAGGAATCCTCTTATTTGTGTCTACTCATTTGCGTGTCCCAGGGCCCCTTTCATATGCGCAATCGGAATGCAGGGGCTGCGTGCACCGGAGGAGGAGGTGGCGGGCGAGCAGGAGGATGGGCGGGAGGGAAGGATGAGGACGTAAGACAGCAGCAGAAACCTCAGCGGGTTGGGGGGAAGGTAGAGGAGGGGAAATTGAGGGGGGGGCGACAGCGATGAAGGGAGACTCGGATTCAGAAGCGTGGCCCGCGCGTGGGGTGAGACCAGCAGCAGCACTAGGAGTTGGAGCGGAAGGAACGGGGGGAGCAGGAGGACCAGGGGAAGGCGGACGAGGGAAGATGATGGGGGGGCACAATGGAGCAAGTCTCGGATTCTGGATAGTGGCCCGCGCTGGGGCGAGATCGCCACGGGAGCCATGCGTCGATCCGGAAAGAATGCCCACGCTGCAGCGGGATACCCATCCTGAAACGCCATGAACATCTGGACAACAAAAAACCATAAGAACAACCAGCGTTCGAAACCCTGTGTGCAGAAGAATCAGCATGTGGAGCGAGGCGGGAGATCCATGGGGGGAGAGGGGGAGCTTGGGGCGTGAGGGAGGCGGCCTCCGGAGGGGTGGGCGGGACTAGGCTGTGCGCCCCTCCCACCCCTTACAGTCGGCCGTTCCCCCCCGCACCGTAACTCCTCCTATCTCCTCCCTTGTCCTGCTCATCCTTTCCCTCCCTCCTCCTCCCCCGCCCGGCATGACGCTGGCCTTCGCGGGCGATGTTTTTCCCCCAATCCCCGAGTTTCGCCCGAAAAGTGTGGCCGCTCAGAAAAATGGGAAAACCCTGGGATACACCCCAAGGGGGGCTATTCGGACGCACCCCTAGCAAGGATGGGCACCCCCCCATCGTATATCCCAGGGTTGGGCCCCAAATTTCAGGTCCATTCGGAAACCCCACGAAGCCCGGGATAGGGGTCGACATATCCCCTGTTAGGCCCAAGCGTATGTTCGTGTTTTATGTTCCAAGCAAGGCTTTTAGGGTTTCAGTATTGAGGGCCCCCATATTAAGCATCCTTGACTAAGGATTCCCGCAAAAAAAGACTCCGTACTGCGGGCACATTATTAACGACCCCCTAGTAAGGAAACATACCTCAGGTTTTCTTACGAATGACCCCTTGCGCACGTTGCCTTTCTGAGGACCCCTTTCGGATTTCTTGTTGAGGTTTTCCGGTGTCGGATGTACGACCGAAGACTTCCCCAGCAATGATTTCCTAGTGCGGAATGTTTATCAATTTGGGTTCCGTACCGGATTCCTTATTCTGGTTACATTGTTGTAGTAATGGTTCTTGATTAATGGTGTCTGACTGAGGTTCCATTTTAACCCGGATTGCTTACGAATAACTCCCTTGTGCTGATTATTTACGAAGTGTTCTTTCCTCAGGATTCCGTTCAGGGGTCTCTTATGCAGCAGGCGCTATTTTGGAATTCTTAGGGTTTTTTGTCCCCTGGCTAAGGGTTCCTCACTCAGAGCTCCCATCACGGGCACGTTCTTAAGGAGTCTTTCGCATTTGTTTCTTTAGTTCGGATACCTTTTTGAGGATCCCATGAGAAGGACACCTTATGGAGGGTTCGTGAGCAAGAAATCCTTATGAAACAGTCTGAGTAAGGTTTCCTTACCGACAATCCAGGACTCCACGAGATTCCCATGGATTCCGACTGGAGGGAGAGGGGATGAACACCGTTGACAAAAGTATAGACAATAATCACACACAATGACATCTATGATTTCGGACGAGTTTCTGGGGGCAGGGAATGCACATTTTTGTCCGAACTCAGAGTTTTATTTTTTTCCTTCGTTTTCGGCGGCGTGTTCACAAACGCCAGAACTGCCCAGGCCGGTTTCGTGCCTGGCGCCCCATCCTCCTCCTCCTCCTCCTCTTCCGCCTCGTCCTCTCGCAATTTCGGCTCTAGTTGAAGCCGTTGCCCCGTTGTTCCAGCTTGACTGCAGCCGACGGGCTGGGCTGGGTCCGCCCCATGCCGTCAGCGGCCCGATCGTCAGGTCCAGGGCGACATCCAGAAGCCTGTCCACGCCGCCCTCGAGGCCAATTGGGAAGCGTCCTCGGGCTACTCGGCGAGCCGCGCTTCGGGTCCGCGCTCCTCTCTCCGGCAATGACGAGAAGCCAGCCGACCCGACCGGGCATGGGTTGCAGCTTTTGTTCTGCTCATGCTGGTTCTGCCACGGCCGGGCACGCGAAAATGGTGCTAGCAAACGTGTCCACGAATATGTCGGCAGGGCCCACATTTCAACCTGAATCAGGGTTACTTCGTCAAGTTTCGGTTTCAGCCCATTGCCACGGCCGTCGTGGATCATGCGCGGGCGCACGGGCTCCACTGCGACGGCCCAGTCGTGAAGGAGAGAATCGAGCTGAGGTGCCGCCTCGCCGCGCCTCCTTCGGCCCGTGCCAAGACCAAGTTGCTGGGATGTCTCCGGCAGCAGTCGTCGGGTGAGCTGGGCCGCGCGAAATTCTGGAGCGCCCACCGCCACCAGCTTGGCTCCAACTGCCACAAGGGCTGCATGCACGTCATCGTCAAAGACTCGCAGGGCATCAACGCGATCTACAAAGACACAAGCGACCACAATGAGCCCTGCGAGATCGAGCCCGATTACGAGTGCCTCAATGCGTACCGCACCGCGCGAGAAGGCCACATACATTGCCAACGAGGCCCAGTATGGGTTTCTCGCCACACTCAGGCTGTGGGGAGGTACGTTTGCAGTTTCCCATGTCGGCTGAGTGGAATGAGCTCGAACTTGAATCCTACCCTGACGATAGTGAAGGTTTGGGAGCCCTGCAGCACCTGAGCAGCCGGGGCAGGCGCGAGCGCATGTTTCTGGACGACTTCGGTACCTCCCCCGACGGGGCGCTCCGCGAGGACAGGTGCGGCTGGGGCCAGGTGTGCGTCTACTACTTCATCCTGTGCTCCCTCCGCCTCCTTTTCTTCGTCGTGCCCATGTCTTTGAGCCTCCTCCATTGCGTCCACTGGGTCTTCTGGCTCCTCCCCTTCTTCGACAGTGGCCTCTGGCCCGCCTCTGCGCGACTTCGCATTTCGTCGGAAGCGCAACCCAAGCTCCGTGACTTGGAACTGTTGCACTAAATTGGGTTCGCTCCACACCCTGTCCGCGCGGCTCGAAACACGTTTCAGGTCCATGCCAAATTTATGCCTAGACTTGATAGTATACGCCTTCAAGACACTCGCGGGCAGGAGGAGGATCTTCAGTATCCAGATCCAGAAATTCGTCGGCACCTTGCATTGGGGGCCTTTGTGGCATATGGTATCGCCAGCGGCGTCTGCATTCCAGCTCACTTTCGTTGTGTTCAGGATGTCGATCGCATCGTTCCTCGGGGACTCATCCCTGGGCGCATCCTGGAAGTCATGCCCACGGGTCCCAGAGCACCTGGCAAATCCACGACCTGCACCTCGACCCCTCCCTCTCGATCGCGGCCAGGAATCAGGAGGGGAAACACACACAGACACAATTAATCGTCGATTCTCCAGAAAATATGGGAAAATATGGGAAGTGGTGTGCAAGACAAAAACCCACAAAATATACGAAAATATGGGGACTCCTGTTATTTGTGTGTATTTATTTGTGTGTCCCAGGGCACCTTCCAGGAAGTCTGCGTTGAGGCATGTCCGTTCCACTGTGGGGCCGGCCGCGAAGGCCGACTCGTCTCTGCTGGGCGACTTTAATTTCTGCGTGGCCGGATGGTCCAGGCAGCAAATGAGTGCGCTGCTCCTAATCATCGTCTTGGGCATTTCTGTAGCATCCTGGTTAGGATTTTGGTTGAAGCTGTTCAGCCTTCGCCGACTCATTGAGTGGCCATGGGGGAGTGTGCCTTCTGTCTTGCGTCTGGATATGCGTCTTGCGCTCAACGATGTCCTGGGCTTCAGCTTCCCGTCGGACGACGCCCCCCCCCCTGGCCCTGGCACTTTCGGCCCGTCAGTAATCTCGAGGACAGCCTCGGATCCAGCCCCGGGTTTCAAAGCGTCTTGAATGCGGGCAGTATTTATATCCATATCCAGAGCGTCTTGTACTTTTCGGGAAGAGGTGCCGCAACGCCGAGGCGCACTGGATATGGATAAAATCAAGCCTCTTGGGGCCAGATTTTTATCCATATCCAGTGCGTCTACGGTTTTGGGGGAAGAGGGCCCAAGATTCCAAGACGCACTGGATGTGGATATAACTATTGCCCGCATTGAATAGCCCGAGCGCGTTCGCGCAGTTCTGCTGAATGTCGGAGGCTTCAGTCCTGATTCGGCGCTTGCTTTCACCGAGCGCAAGGACCTGCCGCGAGCCGCCGCGGCTCGGCGGCGCGCCCGTCTCGAGCGCCGCCCGGCACCGTCGCCAGCGGAGAGGCCGTCGTGGACTCTCGCCGCCGCGCGCGCAGCTGACGCCGAGAGTCAGCTCCTTCGGCGGCGAGCTTCAAACGCGTATCCCAATCTGCGCGAATCCATCGACTATGCGTCTGGGGTCTGGATTCGCCAGGCCGCCTGCCATCGGCATCTCGCCTCGCCCCCCCCGTCTGCAAATTGATGACTTCGAGGAAAGCTGACATTCACCCGCCACGCAAAGCAGGAACGCAAACACGTCTTCTTGCATATAAGACAGCCGGGCGTAGTTCCGGGCACGCTGTTATGCCTCATGGGCTGGTTGACCCCGCCGGCCAGCCCATCTCCAAGCCCGGCATTGCGGCGAAAGAGCTGGCTCAGCACAGCGGGAAAGGAGGCCACGCTACGGCGAGAAAGCGCGCCAGCTAATCGCGCCTCGCACCCAGGGGCGCCGCGGGCGCACCCGCTGGGAGCTCGAGTTCGAGGCTTTCGCCGACGTCGTTCGTCGAAGCCGCGAGGGCGCCCCTGATCCCGACGCCGCGCCCCCTGCTCAGCCCGGGCGTCGCGCGGCAATTGATGTCTTGGCGGTGCTCTTCGCCATGTGAGCAGGGATCGTTGCGCGCCGCGTTCCTACGGAAGTCCGTTTGGCAACGGGCGCTCGCCCGGCCGCGGGCCCGTCGGCCACGGACAGCGCGCCCGAAGGCGCGCCCCGACTGGCGAGCGCGACGCGACCGAGATCCCAATCCAACACTCACAGCAACAGAGTCCGACGAGGCGATGCCGCTCAAATCGCAGGCCTTTTTTGTTCATCCGTGGTGGCAGAACTCTTGTCTCATGCTCTGAATGCCCTCCCCCACCTGCCCGTTGACGCACCCTCGATCCAGCGCCGCATTGACATTTTCCTTCAGGCTTAAAGTAAAATCCTGGCCCGCTCTGACACTGGAAGCCATTTTATGCATTTTCATCTTGCCATGCATTGTATTCAGGATGATGAGTTTTCGGCGTTTGTGTACGAATCGCTGGTGCACCACGCAGCGCTTTCGTCAACCCACCAAGAGGTGCCCAGCAGGAGGTTCTTTTCTTGATTATTTCAGTTGCCCTTGTCTCCGCTTGGTTCTTCGCCCGGCCCCCCCGCCTTCCTCCCTCGTTCGCCTCCGCCTCGGCCGTCGGTCGCATCGGGCTCTTCGGCCTCGGCCCCTTCTCCGCTGCTCAAGTCGTCTCCGCTGCCTGCCTGCGCGATGCCACGTGTTCAGCATGCCCCACCGCCGAAGCCCTGGACAGGTTGGGCCCAGCGCCCTTCGTCCTTCTCTCCTGGGCAGGCTTGCTCCAGGCAGCCGGCCGAGCGCGCGCCCGCGGTCGCGCAGGTGAGCCCGACCCTGTGGCAGCGGCGCTCCTCTCGTTCCTCCTCCTCCTCCTCCTCCTCCTCCTCCTCCTCATCCTCCTCCTCCTCCTCCTCCTCCTCCGCCACTCCCTCGTTTCCCCCCCTCCCCCGACGACGACGCCGCCCGCCGACGCCGACGACGCCGACGCCGCCGCCGCCGACGCGGCCGACGGCGACGACACTGGCCACGGCCACGACGACAACGCCGCCGCTGCCGACGAGCGCGCGGCGGCGGCGACTGCTCGCGGTGGCGGCGGGCGGCCCGAGGCCGTGGCACGCCGACGCGCCGCACCTCTTCGCGCCCGCGCTCCCGGCGCACCTGCCCCCGCACGCGCTGAACGTGCTCGTGCCCCTGAGGAGGGCCGCCTCGGCCGCCGCCCGGGCCGCGCCCCGCGGCGCGGCCGCCGCCGGAGGCCCTCGGCGGCCGCGCCGCGGCCCGTCACAGATATCTCCGACGACGTGGCCCGGCGCGAACTCAGGGGGAGGCGATACATTCAGGGGGGGGGGCAGCGGGGGCTGCAGCACGGGGCCCTTCAGGGCCGCCGAGGGGGCCCTTCCAGAGAGCCTTAAGTGGGGCCGGAAAAAATGACACTTGGCACAAAAACTCGACGGAAATTTTACATAATTTTGCTCGGTTTAAATTCGATTTCTCGAGCTGTAGTATTTTTTCCCCATCTTCGATCTTATTCCCGCTCGCCATCTCAATCTCAGGTCGATCCCCCCCCCCCTGTATCGCCCCCCACATTGACTCGCGCCCAAAACGAGTTCGGATGTTGCGAAGGCATTGTGGCCGGCGCTCGACGTCGGCGGCTCGCGGACGCTCCCCCCCAGTTGCGCTCCTGGCCGCCCTCTCGCCGCCCTCGGCCTGCCTCGCCCCGTGCGGCCCCGCCGCAGCCACGACCGCAGCTCGGATCCATGGCGCCGCCGAGCCCCATTTTTTTCAGCGAGCGAAGAACAGTATAAAATAATTTGTTTCGCTGTCGGGGGCGCCTGTCCCAGGGCGGCTGGAAAGTTTATACCCCTACGGTGCCACCGTAAGGGTATAAACTTTCCAGCCGCCCTGGGACAGGCGCCCCCGACGGCGAAAGAGTTTAAGTTATACCGTTCTTCGCCCGTTACTTGTTCATCGATCTCGGTCCCTGCAGTGTCAAGCAGTGGCGAAGCGTCCTGGTTCGCCTATAGCCCTACCAAGCAATGTTCTAAGAACCTTTTGTGGTCTCCACGAAATGTTCTCAGAACATGTCTGGCGGAGATTGCCTTGCTTTAATACATGGGGTTTATGTTCTAAGAACATCGTTTTTGTTCTTAGAACATATTTGGGTCTTAAGAACATGTCGTGATATGGCTATAGGAATGCCGGGACGGTCGGTCCCTGCTCAACAGTGGGGCCAGACCGTTGTCGGGCCCCTGGGGCCAATTCAAGCGGAGCCGGGGCGGAAAATGGCTGCCAGTGCAGAGGTCGGGACACTCAGGGCGGTATTAGAGCAACTCGCATCATCGGATGTCTGGTCTCGGAGCCCGGGGGTGGGGGGGGGGAAGCTTTCGTTGGCTCTTGGGCCCCAGGATGCTTTCCACTGGTTGTGTTTCGCCGAGAGTTTTCCGGGGGTCCCCAGATCGTCCCGAATGGCCGCCCGAGGCCCGAGGTACGACCCGAGGGCAACCAGGCGTCGCGGAGGGCGGCGGCGTTGTCGCCGTCGCCGCCGCTTGCCGTCCCCGATCTCCGACGATGTGAGTTTGTCAATCCCGGCAGTTTTTCCTCGATGTCTGCCTCCAGGGGCCCGTGCCAGGCCCGGGGCCACCAGAGGTGGATCGGCGGTGAAAGTTGCCCACAGGGGAGGGACCTCTCGGGCTGCGAATTGAAGATATCATCAGGTCGGGCATGTCCCCCCACATTGGGATTTTGGGCGAAGGATGAAACATGCTCAAAACATATTCCAAAATGATCAAAACAGAATTCCATACATATCCTTATATTTTTTGACTATGTTTGAAGTTTCCTGCTGTAGAGGGCCAGGCCCCACTTACAGATAGCACTTCGTCGGATGTGTGGGCAAGGCGCCGTCTTCGTCGAAGGTTCGGCCCCGTCGAGCCACTGGGGGCTTCAGAGGAGTGCAAGTTGAGACAAGGCTTTAAGTCGGGCGCGTCCCTCTACAGGAGGATTCTTTGACCATTTTTGACAATTTGAGAATGTTTGTTTTGACTACGTTTTATTTTTCGCCCAAGATCGGCCTGTGGGGGGACAGGCCCGACCTAAGGCAAGGCTGCTCCCCCGCCTGGCCAGTCATCGGTGCAGGGGCAGAGCGAGATGGCAAGGAGGAGCGCCCCCCCAGGAGGAGGCCGAGGAGGAGGTGCAGCGTAAGCCCAAGACGCATCATCGATGTTGCAGAAAAGCCTCTCTTCAAGTTCCCTCTTCGTATCGACACGGACGAGATGGGTACGGAAAGAACGGGTACAAAGCCCAAGAGCAGCTCCTGTTCATTTTGAACAGGACCTGCTGTCCGCGCCGCCGCGGCCAGTGCCAATTTGAGACGGAAGGCCGCCTGCCCAACAGTTGCTTTGGGACAACATTTGTTGTTGAGCATTGTACCCATTCTTTCCGTACCCATTTCGGGCGTCCAAGTCATAGGCCCGTGCAAGACATGTTCTAATTGTGGGAATTGTCCCGTTGGGAGGCAGTAGCAACCGTCCATCGTGCCACAGCACCATTCCTGAACCTTAAACGTTGCGAGTCAACGTTACAATTGCGTCCTGGCCTTCCTGAGTCGTGTCAGCTCACCGTTCCTGGGACTTCAACACAGCAAATGAACGTTATTGTTGCGCCCTGACAGTCCGAAATCGCGTCGGAACACAATTCGTTGCACGTCGAGAAGAAGAATCCTTGAAACGGCTGTCATTGTTTCAGACGAGTGTGCGCGGCGTCGCGGCGTTTGCCACATTTGTGAAACCGTCGCGAGGTTTAAGCCTCAGGATCATGAATGATGAAGAAGTCTCAGAAACGCCTGGCCCGTCCTACCGACACGTCTCGGGGTGCTACAGGGACGAGCTGTTTATCATACAACAAAAAGTGACGGAGGAGCGTTGAGCGTGGATCGCGGAGCGTGAGCGTGGAGGAGGAGCAGGAGGATGTGAAGGAGGATAACGAGAAAGCGAGCAAGGGATGAAGGAGAAGGAAGAGGAGAAGTGAGGAGGAGGAGGAGGATGAGGAGGCTGGGATGTGACGGGGGAGGGGGGGCCCTGAAGAAGGAGGACGGGGAAGAGCGGGAGGGAGAGGGAGGAGGAGGGGGAGGAGGGAGAGGGGGCGTCCCCTTTGGCCAGGGACGTGGAGCTCGAGGACGGCCCCACGCAATTCCGCGTGGGGTCGCACGTGCTCGGGAGGGAGCACCTTGGCGAGGAGGTGGCGCCGTGCCCGAGGCCACCGGGGTGGGGGGTGGGGGGCTCCTCATCTCCTCGCCCCCTCCCTCCCTGCTTTTCCTCGCCCTCCCCCCCCTCCTCCTCCTACTCCTCCTCCTCCTTCTCCTCCTCGATCTGCTCCTGCTCGTTCTCCTCCGCCTCCTTCTCGTTCTCCTCGCCGTCCACCCCCCTTCCGCCTCGTTCTCCTCATCCTCTTTCCCCATCCTTGCCTCCCTTCCACCCCCCCTTCCTCCCCATTCACTCCTTTCGGACCTGCCTCTTCGGAGGCAGGCCGATCCATGCTCACCGTTCCCTCTTCCCTCCTCCTCCGCTTCCTCCTTTCCATCGTTGTCCATCGTCCTCCTCTAGCTAGCACGCTGTGTTTTGCCATGCGTTCCAGATCGTTCCTCCTCTTTCTCTCCCCCCCCGCTCTCGGAGGCGGGCGCACGAGAGCGCCCGTCGCACCTTCCTGGATCCTTTCTCGCTGCCGCGGCCGTGATGGGCCATCTGGTTCAACTTGGGTGTAATTTTTTGTCCTCTGCATCTTCTTCCAAGCCCCTCCGCCTTCCTCCTCCTCCTCCCTTCTGGTCCTCCGCCCTTTGAACACGCGAGCGTAACGGTCCGGACGCCGCTGCTGCAGATGGTGTGAAGGGGGGCAGGATGTGTCCGCACCAGCTTGTCCTGAGAACTTGTGTTTTTTGGCATCACGATGAGTAGGCTAGCTCTTAGACACTTGCACAATGCTCTCTCTCTCTCTGTGTTGTTTTGTCGCTCTCTCTCTCTCTCTCTCCCTCTCTCTCTTTAAAGATATATGTATAGATGCAGATGTACCGTTTCTTTCGCTTGGCGCAACATTGCAGAAGTTGTGTGTTTCACCCCGCCTTGGTTGCCTGCACTGCTGATAGTGCAGTGATCATTCTACCCCGCCTTGGTTGCCTGCACCGCTGATAGTGCAGTAATCCTTCTTCTCCCCGTCATCCTGGGTCTACTCTGGTCCTCCTCCTCGACCTCTCCCTTGCGCCTCGCCCAGCCGTGCTGGGCAAGATGCTCTGAGTCGCCTCTGGAGGGGCCCTCCGCCAACGAGTCAGGGGGCGAGTTCCCCGAGGCTTGGTCCTTTCTGCCCGGCGCGCCCAGCAGCAGGCCGCGCACAGCACACGGAATCCCGGAAGGGTCTGCCGGGGCGCCCCTTCGGGGTCGGGGCGGGCGGTCACGGGGACCGACCTCCTGCACGGGGGTGGGCGACGAGAAGGGCCCCGGAGGGGCCCCTCTCGGGCCCCTGCTGGCTCCCGCAAGGCCCCTCGTGTGGGGCCCTTCTCTTATCGGGGGAGCGTAAGACCCGGGTTTGCCAGGACTCGGGTTCGCCATCGTTTTTTGACGGCCGCGACTCGGATTTTGACGAGGAGGAGTTGTGTGGGATGTCTGCAGCGGGAGGCCTCGTCAAAATGCAGGCTCGGCCTCGTCATTTTTTTGACGACCTCGTCGGGGATTTCCGAGTCCCCTGTACCCAGGTCTTACGTCTCCCCGATCTTAACCTTCCACCAAGGTGCCCTCCCCACTACACTCAAGTCAGGCCTGCCCTTCCAGAGCAGCTATATCCAAAAGTCGTAACAAAAAGGCTGGGGACTTTTTTGTTTGAGAACTTGTTCCACTATTTTCAGTAATGTGTTGATGTTTTGTATCTTTCCCCTCCCAAATCCGCCTGTAGGGGTACACGCCCGACCTAACACTACAGCCAACCCGCACAGTAAGGATCCGCAGTTTTCCCGATGGTGCCCTTGCATCCTTGCCTCCTCAGTCCATCCCTGGCCACTCTCGTTGGCCGCGCCCCGCCCGAAAGGCTTCGAAACGGCCTCACAAGGCCCTTGCATCCCTATCGCGCATCCCCATGACACGGGTCGACTGCCCCCCCCCCGGAGGAGGAAGGCGCCCCCCCCCCTGGCCCTCCCTTTCCCGGCAGGGGGGCCCACGGAGGTGAGCGCTCTGCGCGCGCCGCGGCCAAAGCCCTCGACGGCTGCCCCTTCGGCAGGGTGGCCCTGCGACCGGCGCGGCGAGGAGCACAGTGGGGAGGCACGGCCGAGGAGGCCGAAGTCGGGGGGCGCCGTCGGGGAGCACAGTCGGGGCGAGGGCGCGAAGTCGGGGGGCACGGGCGAGGAGGGCGAGAGCGGAGTGGAGGGGCGGCCCAGTCGGGGAGGCGGACGAGGGCGAGCGGGAGGGGGACATCGGGACATCGCTGGCAGGCAGAGGACGAGGAGGGGGGCGAGGATGAGGAGGATGAGGAGGAGAAGGGCGAGGAGGGCAGGGGCAAGCGAGGAGAGGGAGGAAGATCGAGAGGAGGATGACGATGAGGATGGCCTCCACGATGATGTTGACAATGTCGATGACGAGGATGATAACGATGACGATGATGTTGCTGCCTTTGCTGCTGCTGCTGCTGATGACGGCGATGATGATGATTATGATGATGATGATGATGATGATGATGATGATGATGATGATGATGATGATGATGCCGATGATGATGAGAAAGAGGGCGAGGAGGAGGAGCAGGAGGAGGAGGAGAAGGAGAGGGGCGAAGATGAGGTGGGCAATCACATCGTCACTCCACCCGTCCTACGATGCCACCGCCGCTCCGGGGGCGCGCGCGCGCGTATAGGGCTGGCGACGTCATCCTCTACGATTACCGGCGCCGGGGGGCGGGGGGGGGTAGTAGTAGTAGTAGTAGTAGTAGTAGTAGTAGTAGTAGTAGTAGTAGTAGTAGTAGCAGTCGTAGTTGTAGTCGTAGTAGCCGTAGCAGTCGTAGTAGTAGTAGTAGTAGTAGTAGTAGTAGTAGCAGTAGTAGTGGTAGTAGAAGTAGTAGTAGTAGGTTTAGTAGTAGTAGTAGTAGTAGTA